GGGTACAGTAGAATGTCGTGGATGAAATAATGTACCAATACATTTTGATATTTACAACAATTGCCCTCTTAAAAATTTGTTCATCGGCAAATGCCCAATACTTGAAGGTATCTCGAGAACACTCCAGCAGAGATGCGGATCCTAGCGAAAAGAAAGAGTGATTGCCCAGTACACATGGGAAAAAGACACAGAAAGGTAGATGTGATCGCTGTAACCAAAAAATGAGTGAAAATTTCAATCTAGTTAGTGAATTTTGTACGTGTCAAACCTAAATTGATCATTTTTTTTAGGGACTGAAAATACTTCTTTTAGTTTTGAGAGACAAAATTTTCATATTGTTAATACGTGAGGAACAATTTATGCAATTTTTCCTTAGATTAAATGCATAAAAAAAATCTGTGTTCTTAAATGATATAAAAATCCTCAAAAACAATCCTCAAATGGATAGGGTATTATTTGAAATATTATTTGGAATAATTACTGTAGCATTTTTGTGATGTGATGTATGTGAGATAAAAAGGTGATTAGGAATATAAAAAGGTGGGTTGGAAAATGTGTTTATGATGCAAGCAAAATATTATTTGGGATAAGTTGGTTATCCAAACAAACTATTCTCTAGCCTACAGAGCATCGTTTTGTCAAATTAATTACAAATAAATAACAATACACAGATCGTATATAAAGAGAAACATTAATGGGAAGAAGAAAATTTTAATTTGAGTATATAATAACTTTATTCTAAACACTATAACACCAATTGTTGCATGACTAGTAGATATGAGCTTTATTGGTTATGGTTAGGAATTATGATTACAATAACAAGTAAAGATGATTACCAACAGAAAGCACTCATATAATTTTTAAAATATTTCTTACCGTTTCTTCTTGTCATTCTTTCATACCTTCATATAAAATCAAATACTTCAACAGTACAATTTTAATGTATTTACATTTATGGTAATCATATAAATAATTAATTGATAATGAATTTTGTTCACTGTTGTTTTTGTTTATTTTTCTCGTGCACGTTCCTGAGATGCTCTCAAGTCAAAACGCAAAAGCACGGATTCTCACACTGGAAGGTCAGTGGGAAATGCATGCCCTCCCCAGCTGCGTTGCAAGAGTTCCGCCGACACGCCACTCCTGGCCTTTGAAAACGTGCTTCAACAATGACTTTTCCAGTTTACCAAATTATGAAGCCTTCATACTAATTAGCTCAAAATTACATGGATATACGCACACCCGGCCATTTCCGGTTTACCGAAAAAAGGACACGGCTATACACTTATTATTTACAAAAAGAAAAATAAATTACAGCCCACTAGAATGGTAAAAGTAAAAGAGTCCCCGTCCGTCCCGGGCTTAATAGTCTTCCTTTAGATGCTCTCTGAAGCATTTCTTTATTTCTATTTGTTACTATTTTTTTTTTGACTCGTGGGAAAAGCCAAATGAGACAACTTCAAGCATCTCGTCAAGAATTCCGCCTCCTTTAGTCAGTTTCAGCATCTTTTTCCTTTCTCGTCGTCTGTCTTTTTTCAGATAAGACACAACTAGCAGTCAGGACTTAGGAACGTCAGTCTGTGAGACCATTGGATACTTAAGTCCGTTCGACAAATGAGTTTTTTTTTTTTTAATATTTATCTAAAAGAAAAAAATAGTCAGTGGCGCTGGCCGGCGGCTCTGGTGATAGTGGGGTGAGGTGGAGGAGGAAGAAGAAAAATAAAAAAGAAGGGATTTGCATGTTTTTGGGTATTGTAAGGTGTTTATAACAAAAATTTTGGAGAGTTTTTTGGAGTTATTATAACTTAAAATTGTTAAAAAACTTGCTTGCTAAACAGGGATTGAGTTTAACTTTCAAACCCTCTATTTTATTTCCTTTGTAAGACTTGAAGCCTTTCCTTGAATTAAAAAAAAAAAAAAATCCATTCACAGGACTATTACCGTCGTACATTCTTTTGCCTTAGTCGTTGAGTTGGTCCTAGCCCAATAACGCGGTAGCCACTTTTAAGGTCCTACGATCAACCTGCGGAAACTTTGGAGCTCAACGAGCAATTGGCCCAGTGTTTCATATTCGTGAAAAAATTTGTTTTCTGGGGACTACAAAAACATGTTTGCAGCTCATCCGTTGCTTTTGGGTCCATTGTCCTCTGGACTGTACAAACGGGGGAGCTAAGCAAACGATTATTTTATTTTATTTTATATTGGACTACAAATATTAGTTGGCACCTGAAACGTTGCTGGTCCAACCCAGAAAACTTTGCTCCATGGCCCATGTGATAAATAACTAGGAGGAATTAAAACAACATCACGTGATTAGCGCTTGAGTTTGACTCAAATTACCCAGTCGAGTGACAAAAGGGACTCTCACCAGTAACAGCGACAAAAGAGGTGCATAGAAAATGGTCTCTCTTCGATTTCCATTCTCGTTTTCTCAGCCCCCTACCCCGAAGCCACCCAACGCATCCACCTCCTCTTCTTTCTCCACCAGTGCAACCACAGCAAGCTCCGTAGCCGCAGTCTGTGGTGCGGGAATCGCCGCCGGTTTAGCTCTCTCCCAAACTCCCGCTAATCCTCTATACGGCAACGCCTTCAGTTCCTTGTTATCCAATCTGTTGCTCAAAACAAGCCATTTCTCTCCGATGTGGGGTTCTCTTTCTCTCTCCGGTAGCTCCGCTTCGGTTGCTGAACCCAAGACGGGAATGTCATTCCCCTCAGTTCTCAAAGATTCCCAGCGACTTCTTGGAATTGGGTTGAGGAAAAAAGCCGTTTTGGGGTTGAAAAACATAGACGTTTACGCTTTTGGTAATTGCAATTTGATCTTCCACCTTATTTTGATTGATAATGTCAGTGCCATTTTCTCTCTCTTTTTGGCAGTTCGATTAATTCGATATTGACTCCCCATAAAATTCTCGCCTGATCCCCTACTACTAAATAAGTACAAATCTTGACTCCTTCCTAGCTGCTGTACTTTATGGAAACCAGTCAATCTTGATTTGTGTTGGGGGATATTTTTCCACTGGCTCTTTTACATGATTAAGTGAGTGAATCTCAATTAGCGCTGAAATGACTAACTGTGCTATCAAGTTGAATTCAGCTTGAGAATGATAAAGCTAAGCTGGAAATACAATTTTAGGCTCATTGCCCAAACTAAACTTGAGCTCATTTTCTATCTCGATTGAGCTCAGTAGCACTCCAAATTTAAAATGTGTTTCACACTTATTTTGCTTCTCTAAATAATGTATCTAAAATGGAGTGCATTGTGCGGAATCTTGGTTTTAGGCTAATGAAATGGACTATACACAATTTTCGGTTTTCTGAGTTACATCTCAACTTTTCCTTGGGATTAACCGGTGTGATTTCACCATGGCATTCTTTAGGGGTATATGCCGATGATGGTGACATAAAGAAAGTGCTTACTGAGAAATATGGAGCACTGTCCGCAGCTGAATTGAAAGAAAAGAAGGAATTGAGGGAGGATCTCATGGAAAGTGATGTAAGCATGACTATTAGACTCCAAATAGTCTATGGAAGATTAAGCATTCAATCTGTACGTAGTGCTTTCCAAGAATCTGTTGGGAACAGATTAAGGAAATTTGGAGGGCCCAATAATAAAGAACTTCTTGAAAGGTAATCCTATGGCTTCCGCTGCTAGCTGTAACCACATTTGAATTGCGTTTTGTTATCACCCATCAAGGTTTGAGATTTTCAGATGCTATTTTGTGGGTGAATCAATATTATTTTGCATTGATCTTAGTGCTGTCTCCTAAATACAAGCTTATATTATGACCCTGTGAATCATGGTTAAATTTTCATAGGAGCATAACTAGCCAAATTGTGTATGTTGTTCTTTGGGATACTGCACGTGATTATATGTTTCAAGTTGGTCAACATGTTTTTGCTGCTGCTTTAAACCAATCCCCTGCCATGAGAATCTTTATTTGGTTTCAGATATAAGAGCCTGCACTTAGATTTTCAACAACGATATTTCCTGTTTATGATACTATCATTTTGCTTGTAGAATTGACTGACTGTGACTATTCGAATTTGATTGGAAGATATTCATTTGTAGTAATTTTATCACAAAATGGATTTCAATCGCCTTTTATGTTAGTATCAACTGTACATGATACATTTGCATCTGTAGACAATGATAACTTTTAAGTTCGGAGCAGGTTCACATCCCAGTTCAAAGATGAATATAAGATACCTCGAGGGTCTATCATAGATCTTTCAAGGGATCAAGGCTATGTTCTTCGCACAACAAGTAAGAGAGTTCTTTATTTCGCTGACTCTACTTGAAAAAAATTAATGAACAGGGGATTTGTTGAGCGTCTCTATCCTTGTAACTTATCAACTTAAAACTGCCCTTTCTTTTTTCTTTTGTAACCATAGTTTTTTCATGCGTGTGAGATCTTCAAACCAACGAGTTTTGGGAACTTAAATGTCGGAGGTGAAGAAGTATTATTATTGTTTCTATAGAGACGAGAAAGACCTCCTTGTTTGGAGTCAAAAGTATGTGACATTCTTGTTTGGAGTCAATAAATATGGTAATTTAAAGCGCTGTTTATATCACTGCAGTTGATGGACAGGAGGTGGGAAGCATTCAGAGCAAGCCACTATGTCGCTCAATCATTGATCTATATATTGGTGATGAACCTTTTGATCAGAAAGCTAAAGAAGATGTTCAAAAGAATTTGGCTCATGTTCTGCAGAAGTAGACGTGCACTGATGAAAAATCTGTCAAGGTGGATGAGGGAAGTCTCTACTTGGTTGTTCTTTCTTTCCGTGAAACTGGTTAACAAATGGGGTGCTCTGTAGAGTTCTTTTTCTTAACTTTATCCAAGCGCAATAGAGAATTGTTGAGAGCCCTTCTCGCGTGCATCTCTGCTAATCAGGTGGACTGCTTTTTCTTTCTAGAATTTCTTGGATTATTGGTCGAAAATTATTTAGATTCTTTTTTGAGTCTTATCATATTGAGGTATACTCAAATGCCATCATAAACTGAAAACAATCCGACAACATTTACGTCAATGTCTGGTAGAGAGGGAACAAAACGACTTCGAACTAAATTTGTGAAAATTGAGGGTCAAATTACATATAGAACGCAAGAACCCAACATACAAACTCGATCTTTGGCAGCTATACATGTAAAAATCCAGGCGAAAGAATACATAAAAGACTTCTAAACAGATGTATGGGGTAGACTGCAACGGACTTGGGGAAGGAAGGGATCGAGAGATAGAAATGGATTTTGACGTCAAACACAGCACCAAGCTAATCCAATATACCTATTCACAACCCCTTCTCAAACTGTCAGCAACTCCTGGAAAAATGTCAAAGGAAAAGCTTATTATGAGTATCCAGGGAATGAAAATGCAGCAGTAGAAGGAAAAAATATACATCTATCATGCAGCAATTCGGTAACCATAAATTGAATTTTGGAGTAGCTTATAAGATGTATTTGCCATCCTAGAAGATTCTCTTCTTTCTTCATTCTGTTTAGTCTACTTTCATGGTACGGACAGACAGACACTAAATCTCACACACTCTCTCCAAATGAAAACAGCATAATAACAGACTTGAAAGATCACCTTCTCCTTCTGTTTGTAGAGGGAATCAATCTTTTTCATATATTCATCTGTCACTTTCTGCACACAACCAACCAAGGGAAGAATCAAAGGCAGAAGCAGTTTTGCAATCCAGAGAACACGACGGGCACCGATTACACATGAGAAAATACGGCACTCAATATAAAACATCAGCTATGGTTTTGAGAAAAAGAGGACAAGAAAGAAAAACTAGAACGCGCCGAAGAATAGATATCCACGTGTTTCCTGTACAGTTACACTTTCTGATTGTCCAAAGAATTAGTGCTTGTAATTATTGAGACAGAACACCAATATTAATTAATTACCTGCAGATCACTGGACAAGTCTTTCACATTGTCCTCGGACAGCTTTTTCTCCTGGAAGTAGAGCAGGTGGTAACAACTGAGAATCCTAATTTAGTGTGAAGTAAAGTAATCTAAAGTACAGACCTTCTCAAGTTTTTCATAGGATTTGATGGCATCTCTTCGTACATTCCTCAATGCTACCTTAAGGTAACAAATAAAGAAAAGTAAAGCTTAGTTTTCCAACAAGAGTAATCAAAATGTAAAGAAATAACATATTATACGAATTTCTATAAACATAGTATTCATAGTGAACCTTGCTGGTATAAAAAATAAAAATTAATCATTCAGTGATCTCTTAGGACACGCACAACCACGACAAATCAATAATTAGTCTACCCATGCAGCCTCAACCATGCTGTCAAGGTAATATTTGAATCATCTAAAGACTTTTGAGCATATGTACAAAACTACATGTTCTTTACAGTAAAAAATCGATTGACAGCCACAACTAACTCAAACATTAGAAGGCCAGAGAAGTGTATCTTCTGATGCAAATTGAGTTACAGGCTAAGCACCTCATTTGAAATCTCACATGCTCCAAAAGGGACCATGAAACGAATAACAGGTACACATAATAGTTGAGCAATGCCAACCCATCCAATAATGCCTAGAAATTTACCTTCCCTTCCTCAGCTTGTTTTGCCACAATTTTTGATAGTTCCTACGAAGATAAAGATGAAAGAGGAGGAAATGCAAGTTTAGATATTGAGGCTATTCAAATACAGGGAATAATTCAACTTGCCAGATATCACTATTTTCAATTTGTAGTAAAAGTTTAAGTTTTAGCATACGACATTAATTCCATGGAGTCCTCCTTTCAACATAAAAGCAGGTCATACCTTTCTCCTCTCTGATGTAAGTTGGGGTATTGCCAGCCTTATAACTTCTCCATCATTGTTTGGTGTCATACCAAGGTCAGAGTTGACAATTGCTTTTTCTATAGCCTTCAAGCTGAAACAATAGAAGTCAAATAGATTTCATGGATTAGATACAGATATCAAGAAACTTACTCATTATCTTCACACAACAGAAGCGAGTTTCACTTGATCTGCTATTTCAAGTATGGATTAATGAAAGCATACGCGGATTTGTCATAGGGTTTCACCAAAAGTGAACTTGCATCAGGAGTACTAATTTGAGCTATGCTCTTCAAGTTGGTTGGTGCTCCATAGTACTCCACCTAGTGAGGAGAGGTTGGGAGAAATGGTAAGTACATAGATGTTAAATGCCAGTAGAAGTATCCAATACAAAACCTAACAATAAATCTTAATAGTTTTGATGACTAACTTTTGATTCAAAATGTCATAAAAATGGCTCGTTTGCTATGCTGGTCAAATTTTTTGCATTAGGCAAAGAATAATAAATTACGATCATAAGTATAGATATAAAGTTTATCTGCCTTAATCATGAAAATTGAAAAAAATTCATGACAGTTCTCTTTTTAACCAAAGATATTCAGAATCAGGGGCATTAAGCTTTTAGTCCTGCAATCCATGGTTTACCTTCAATAGATCAACAAAAATTGCAGAATGCTGCAAATATCCCTGTTTTAGCATGTCTTCAGACCATAATCCTAGCCGAAACAAGTAAAGAAAAAGGGGGAAGGAGAGTGGAAGTGGACTTAACCAAAGAAAACCTGAGATCATAATCCTAGCAAATATCCCTGTTCATTCCTGGGAAATGGGATATAAGGTAGAATTTCCAATTTCGATATCTGAAATGCAAAAGCCATATTTGCCCATGAAAAAGTTGAGAAAGCTGTGTTGATCTGATGAAACTGAACATTAATTTTTGCATTCTACACATGCCTTAGGCTCAGCATGCCTAATTCTAGCCACATAAAATCACAAATTACAATTGAAATTGTCAGATACTCCCAACTTTGATGAGCTTTCCAAATCTTCAAGCCTTTTAAATCTAATTTTTAGTGCTTATGCAGTACCCAATACAAGAATACTAGAATTGCTTTTGATATTTAATCAATTGTAGATTTCTGCATCTATGCCTGGTATAGAATGAAGACAAAAGTAGCTCATACATTGGAATTCATACCTCAATTTTGTCCAGCATTGCCGGGTTTGATCTACCGGTCCTAATAGAATTAAAACTCGAGCGAACTGTGTCAACAGTCTTTTCCATTCTTTCTTTCTGAAAATGAAATCAAATATAGAAAGTTGACAATTTTGTGGGGGAATTGAGCATCCTGAAGTCTTGCATTACGCGCCTTTAGAAGTGGAGCAAAAATTAAAGTGGTCTATCCTTTTATTTTCTGAGGACTTTAGAACTTTCTGCAAAATTATTATGCAAAAAAAAAACCCAAAAAAGGCACTTACAACGTCTTCTTCAATGAAAGATTTCTCAGCTTCTATTTCTTCTATGGTTGCACACCTCAAAACTCGTCTGGAAAACACTCAAACCAGAGATAAAAGGAACAAAAAAAGATTAAATCCCTAAACAAAGAAAGAAAAGAAAGAAAGCTATAACTCTCAAAAATGAAGACAATCGACAACCCTACATTGTTGAGAGATCAAGCAGGCTTGAAAAAAAAAAGACCTACTGTGTAAAAACTATCCAACCCACAAAAGAAATAAATTTCGGGAATGAAGATAAGGAAACAAGCGAGGAAATCCCAAAAAATTCCACTTGCCTCTTCTGCAAGAGGTGTTTAACAACAGGGGCTTTGCAGCAGAAGCTCTGAGCCTAACCTCAAGCTTGACATAGTGGGAAGCCGCGCCGCAAGACACATTTTTCGAACCTGAAAGATGAGAATCTGCAACTTCACTTCAACGCAGTAAATAGTTAAAATTCTCCAAGCAATTTCTTGCAAAGAAATAAAAGGACGAGGGAGGTTTAAAGGTAAACCTTGGGGAGGTTGCAGGGAAAGAAGAATTTTGGGTTTCTGCTGATAAATGGACCCCATGGGGGTTGAAGGGGAGAAATTCATAGCCATTGCTGTCGAGAAAAGAATAATGGGGGTTTTTTTTTATGATTTTTGCTGCTTATCAGAGTGCAGAAGAAAGAAAGACTCCAGTCAAGTGTGCAGAAATATGACGTGAAGATAAGAAGACGGACGAAGCTGCAGCGGAAGATAGGCGTTCGGGAAACGAGACAAAACGGATTGAACAAAAGCGCGAGACGAATGCTACGCTTCTTCGATAAAAGCTTCGAATACGAGCGCGTCTTATGCAATCAACACTGTAACCCTGTTCGGTCAAAACAGTTTGGTTTCTTTTGGGGTTGGGTTGAGTTGGTTTAAGCCCTCTGGTTCTGGGGGATTTCGGCATTTGAAAAAAAAATAATAAAGCTCCCAGTCTTTTGAGAAGTTTCTGGTCCAGAAAATTTTGGGCTCGTGCTGATCAAGTCCATCTTAAGTCCAACAATAGATAGACGTTCCGAATTTCTAAGTAACATCCATGTGAATGTGGGTTTGCAAAGAATTGAGTTTTGGGCTCCGCCCTCGGCCCTTGATCCACATCTTTGAGAAGGTTGGAGCTCTCTACCGGCTGCCACTGTTTTACCGAAAATTTTTAATTCTTATCCTCTTGAATTCCTCCTTAATTTGTAAAAAGCTTTCGTCTAGTAACCGGAAAAAAAACATAGCGACGGATAGAACTTCTTCCTTTCCAGCACCAACAACCAAAAAAAAAAAAAAGAAAAAAAGAAAGGGATTGGGCTTTAGACAGATAGTAATATCAATAATAATCTATTAAGCATATAATATGAACAAGACTTTCAATTCTGAACTAAATACTGTACAATAATATGACTCCCTATTTATAGACTCTGACTTGATAAACAAGTCTTAAATCACAAGAAATTTTCTAATAAGATACTAATTCCTAAATAATAAAACTAACATAGCTTGATTCCAATAGAATTACTAAAATCCTAACTTGACTAAAACTTACTAAATAACAATATAGAAATTTTCTAATTTTGAGTCTTGATTTAATATGCCAACAGTAATTCGTATTGTTGACTGATGATCCTTGTAAAAGCACAAGGAACAAATTAACATGATGGTTGTTATGATTAAGACAGAAAGAGATTGATTAGGTAGGGATTAATGGAATCGTGTTGGACAGGCATCAAGTGATCATCATGCATGATGCGTTGCTGTGAGTGCTCCAAACGCTGTGGGGATCCCGTAAGAAAAGAAAGTCCATTGGAGACTGCGAGACGGAGGGTTTTATATATACATACCATCACCAACACAGCCCTCTACCCAGATGTTTTTTTTTTATTTTTATTTATTATTTTGCATTAGTGCATTGAATTGAACCTTTAGTTAATTTGCCTTCAACAACCAACGCCATTAGTAGTTACCCAAACCCATATATAAAAACAAAATTGATTGGCTTGGTTTGAAGTTGTCATAATAATAATAATCATGGATTTTGGGAGAGAAGCAGTCGTGCTTGTCCTCACTGCTATAACAATGGCTGTTTTGGGGGCGGCTTCCACTGTTCACACGGTTGGTGATATTGGCGGTTGGAACTCAGACCGTGACGTGGATTATTACGATTGGGCTGCTAGCAGGGAATTTCATATTGGCGACATTATCCGTACGTAAGCTCAATTATCAGTTGATGGTAATCATGTTGGGTTCTATTTCCGGTTTATTTTAGATTGATGCTGATGATAAGTAGCCGTCGATGCCGTCAGTGATTGAACAGTTCTTGATAAATTGCCTGTGTAGATTTCAAGTACGATCCAGGGTTTCATAATGTGGTGGAAGTGAGGCGGCGGACTACCACGCATGCGATGCAGCAAATCCCATAGCCACCTACTCGTCGCCGTCGGGAATGACTACATCAAGATCGAGAGACACGGCCACTACTTCTTCATCTGCGGCTGCGTTGATCACTGCGCACTCACTAACCAGAAGGTTGATATCAGAGTCCCTAAAGACCTCGACGTGATTAACTAAGCTCCTCCCTCTGATTTACACTAAAATCCTAACTTGACTAAAACTTACTAAATAACAATATAGAAATTTTCTAATTTTGAGTCTTGATTTAATATGCCAACAGTAATTCGTATTGTTGACTGATGATCCTTGTAAAAGCACAAGGAACAAATTAACATGATGGTTGTTATGATTAAGACAGAAAGAGATTGATTAGGTAGGGATTAATGGAATCGTGTTGGACAGGCATCAAGTGATCATCATGCATGATGCGTTGCTGTGAGTGCTCCAAACGCTGTGGGGATCCCGTAAGAAAAGAAAGTCCATTGGAGACTGCGAGACGGAGGGTTTTATATATACATACCATCACCAACACAGCCCTCTACCCAGATGTTTTTTTTTTATTTTTATTTATTATTTTGCATTAGTGCATTGAATTGAACCTTTAGTTAATTTGCCTTCAACAACCAACGCCATTAGTAGTTACCCAAACCCATATATAAAAACAAAATTGATTGGCTTGGTTTGAAGTTGTCATAATAATAATAATCATGGATTTTGGGAGAGAAGCAGTCGTGCTTGTCCTCACTGCTATAACAATGGCTGTTTTGGGGGCGGCTTCCACTGTTCACACGGTTGGTGATATTGGCGGTTGGAACTCAGACCGTGACGTGGATTATTACGATTGGGCTGCTAGCAGGGAATTTCATATTGGCGACATTATCCGTACGTAAGCTCAATTATCAGTTGATGGTAATCATGTTGGGTTCTATTTCCGGTTTATTTTAGATTGATGCTGATGATAAGTAGCCGTCGATGCCGTCAGTGATTGAACAGTTCTTGATAAATTGCCTGTGTAGATTTCAAGTACGATCCAGGGTTTCATAATGTGGTGGAAGTGAGGCGGGCGGACTACCACGCATGCGATGCAGCAAATCCCATAGCCACCTACTCGTCGCCGTCGGGGAATGACTACATCAAGATCGAGAGACACGGCCACTACTTCTTCATCTGCGGCTGCGTTGATCACTGCGCACTCACTAACCAGAAGGTTGATATCAGAGTCCCTAAAGACCTCGACGTGATTAACTAAGCTCCTCCCTCTGATTTACACTCCTGCTGCTTAGTTAATACTACGTACAACAGTTGCCAATAAACAAATGGGATTAGGGCTAGGCTATTTGATTATGAATCTATTGTGGTTGATTTGATCATTACACATCTTAATCTCTTTCATTTCCTGCTGTACTTCGATCATCTTCGAATCAGCTGTTCAATGTGGGCCTTTTTTAAACGCTGGACCTCATACCCATTTTCTGGGGTTAGAATGATGATATTCTTTTGAGAATATATTGACATTCATTTTGTACGAAATATTTGAATAATAAAAAATGAATCAAAATTTATTGTGATTAATCAAATGGCAAAAAATTTGCTTAACTTCTTATGAAATTTTATGTATAATGTACACAAGTGACGAAATATATATATTATGAACGGCATGCAGACATTGGATATATTCCAAAAAAAACAATTTTTAAATTAATTTTATTAAGGTATAATGGAGAGAAACATTTTGTAAGCTTCATCTTATAGCCAAAGACTGTTGTATAGACTAGTGGCAGTTGTAGTGAAAAACATTTTGTCTTTTTAGTGAAAATTAGTAGTATTACTTTTATATATCACTATTAATTACTTCTCTCATCTTTGCTATGACCCGAGGCTGAAGCCTAATTGCTTCTCTGATCGTGCTGTGCTAATGGTTAACGAGTGAAACCTTTCCTAAATGATTTTGCCAGTCATAAATTTCGATAGAATTTTTTAACCTGCATGCAAAATTCATGCAATAACTGTTTTACTGGCTAAATATTTAGCCGACCCCTCGGGCTAGGTTCTCAAAAAAAAATAAAAAAAAGTTACCCGAGTTTGCTAAAAATCTTAAAAAATAATTTGACGCTAGGCAAAATTTCCTAATCGATCGTTTAACCTGAGTTCCTTCCTCCACAAGAATTTGACGCTAGGCACCAGCTACGTACATTCGAGGAAACCTGTCGAGAGATTTCAAATCTCGATCGATCATGCCCTGAATGAATTTATGGCAAGAGAATCATTGATTTAAAGATTTGCGGGTATATATGACGGGGATACACTGAACTGGAAATCTTCAATCAAATCTTTTTTATTTCCATTCTTGAGCCGTTTAGCTTTCTCATATATATGACAGACGACATCTTAAATTAAACCTCCTCTATCGCTAATACATCCACACATACACTCTGCAGTGGTTTAGGTGATTAGCCATGGTTTTCGCCAAGAAAACCCTTTTTCTTTCCTTCTTGTTGATGGTAAGTAGTAGTGTTTGTCAGAAGTCGAAGGCTCATGTGTACACGGTTGGTGATGCTGCTGGCTGGACGAATATTGGCCGCGTTGACTACAAAACTTGGGCCGCTACAAAGATTTTCCATGTTGGGGACATCATCTGTAAGCCATTCGTTTTTAATCAGTATTCGTCGTCATTCCTTGTTCTTGTCGTCGCTGTCTATTTGGGTGGTAGTTTCATCAAGTTAATGGACTTCGGTGTTACTTCAATATTGCTGTCCTCTTCCTTATCTTTTTTCCCTGGTCTTGAGAATTAAAATAACAGTAGGGCCAAATCTCTCAGTATGATCTACTGCTAGATAGAGAGTATGAGAACTAGCTTGATTCAGTTAAAGCTGAAGGATTTTAATCAACGTTTCTTGAATACTTCAACAACTATTTTAGGGTGTCCTCAGAAACAGAATCCTATTAAAGAATCAGAATACATTATAGAAATCCTACCTGGCCCGTTGCAGATTGGAGATCCGAGTTCAGTCGTTCGAAGATAATTGCTCCAAGCAATTGTCAGCGAACATTGGATATTTGTCTGATCGATGGTTAAAGAATATTCAGATTTGATTACCAAACTTCTTCGTGATATAGTATCAAGGTTTTGATCTTTGTCACAAGATATTTCTGCCTTAGGAATTAATTATGACATGCGATAAAGCTTTTTTTTTCTTTTTCTTTTTTGTTAATGAAAAACAATAAAGCTTTTAGTCTATAGTCTGTCTGTTGGAAACTTCACTAAATAGAGAGATGCATGGTCGCAGGTGTGCATCACGAAACGCCATGTGTGTGGGTATATGTGTATGTATAGTTTAGGGTT